AAAAACATCCTGGCACCTGCCTCCCCGTCTCGCTCTTCCCGCCAGGTGATCTCTACGTGCCAGCCGCCGTCACCTTCCACCGTCAGCAGAAGCAGCCTGAGGCCCTCACCAGAAGCACATGATGGTGCCGAGCTTCTCGTACAGCCTGCAGAGCCGTGAGCTAAATAAAGCTCTTTTCTTTATAAATTACCCGGCCTCAGGTATCCCTTTATAGCAACACAAACAGACTAAGACAGATAGCACGGGCCAAGGAAGAATTCACAAGAGGCTGGAAATGAGCCAGGTGTTAGCCGATAAATAAGCTGTAGAATGGAAGAAAAGGGTGTGTGTAGAGGTGCGTGACGTGGGGAGGGGAAACAGGCTTTTCAAGTAGGAATTATACCAAGGTAGCCATTGGAAGTGTGGGACTAGTGATCTCAGAAGATATAAATGCCGGGAGTCGCAGCAGAAAGGTAAAAGCTGAAGACACAAGATTCCGTGCATGGTCCCAGAGCAGGGAGGGTCCATCCTGGGTCTTGGGGATCACCAGTGGTTGGCGGTATGCCTGTGAGGGTATGGACCATGTATTTCTTATTCCCCATTGCTTCTGGAGCCTAAAAGAAAATCTGATGCAAACCCTTAATAAATATGTATTGAATAGATGAAAGGGGAAAAAAAATCATCACAGCGTAAGTGACTTGGATGCTAACAAGGAAGAGGGGCTCAAAGGAACGTGGTCAAGTTTTGCAGAGAGATCAAGGGTGGAGAGTGGGAGCTTCCTGGGGAGATGGGAACAGAGGCAGAGACATGCAACAGAGAACTGCGAGAAGCTTATGGTGGGCAGGAGACAACGCACACTCGCTCAGGGGCGGGGAGAAGAAAGGATGGGATGAGCAGGGTAGGGAGAGGCCCCTGATTGCAAGACCAGACTAGAAAGGCTGGGAGAGGTTGGCCCTGGTTGAATGGAGACCTCCTTTCCTCTAAGGCAGGAGCAACATGGAAACAAAGGCAGGTACCGACACCAGAGGAGAGACGGAAGCAGGGATGCCAGTAAGACAGTAGCTACTGACCCCAGATGGCCTCTACTTTCTCAACCAAGAGAATGGGCTTCGGGGAAAAGAGATGAACAGAGAACCCCAGGGCCTTAAAGAGAGCCAAGCAGCATTTCAACTGGCCTGTGGGCCAAGCGTGACTCTGAAGACAGCAGCTAGCGGTGTGGTCCCAGCCCATGAACGACTTTCCAGAGCTGTCACAGCATGACAAAGGTAACCAAGGGCCCGATGTTGCTGCGAATGCCTTTCAGCTTCTCCCCAGTGACCCATCCGGACTGGTCCCCTGGGCGTCTCATTCTGTGGGATTCAGACAAGGTCTAGGATCCTCAGCTGCGTGACCAGGAGGTCGTATCCATTTCCTGATGCTTCTGAGAACCAGGGGGCTTTACGTGAATAATGAGGGGCCCTTATTAGCCTTCGGGTTCTATATACACACCCAACTAGGAGCATCTTTATTCAGCTCTTTCAGAATCCCCGGAACGGCTGACTAAATTGAGAATAAAGACAATGTCAAACGCAGAGCACATGTTGGGAATGAGGCAAGGGGGTGCAAGCATCTGATAAGGGACTGTACCAGGTGATCTCTAAATACCCTTGCAGCCTGACATGCTAGGGAAGGTGCCATGGACCAGATGGAAGGCAGATAGAAAGGGAGAAGCCAAGAGAGGACCAGCATCCTAATCGCGCTGGTCTGAAAGGTCCCACTGTTTATGATAAACACATGAGTAAAGAAAAAAGGTGCTTTCGTGCTTCATCCATCACTGGGGTGACTGAGGAAACGGCGTCTGCAGCCGGGGAGCGCTGTGCTCCTGCAATCCCGTCCCACACGGCACATCTCAAAATGGGACAAAGAAGGGAATCAGATGGGGACGGCACCCAAGGGAGTCACAATATGAGCGTCTTTCCTCTCTTAATCTCCCCGCTTCTTGCCAACGCCCCAAAGGATCGACCCTGGCCTTGTCAGCAGCACCATAAATGTTCTCTGTTTATTTATGTGCCAAGATGCATGTGGCCTTAATTATTTATGGCAGTGTCTCATCACACACAGGGATGTGTCGTGGAGTCAGTTCTCTCAATTGATAAAGCGCTGGTAATCAGACACCTGCTGCCAGCTCAGCCGGTAAATCTCCTCCGAGGACTGGCCTGGGTGCTCCCTGTCCCCTCCCCGCCCCCCTCTTCCGTCTGTGTGAGTCACCGATGGATTAGTAGAGGGGGGATTAGCCAAATCCAGTTACAACACTCCGGTGCATTGTTTGTTGTGCCACTCATGTTTTCTGAAAGCAATCAGGAGCCATCCACCATGGACTGCTAGGACAAAATATACTGCTGCTCTACAAAGGAGGGCTTTGATAATCCAGAGTCATCTCGTGATTTTCATCCGATAAGGCACTGTTGGTTCACCCACTCCTTCAAGTCTTCGTCAATAAAGCCATTTCCCCTCCATCTTCACCGACCTCTTCTTGCTTACACAGAAGAACCGTCTGGATCCTTAGAAAGGCCACTGCGAACCACAGGCTGAGAGTGCTCCAGCAGGCAGCTTGCCCTGGTGTGTCTGATGGCTCCTTGGCTCTGCTTTGTCTGGGCGTCAAAGGACACTGGCCACAGCCCACAGCTCTCTCCATGGCTCCCGGGCTTCCGAGGGACGCTTGTGCTGAACACTCCCTCCCAGTGCCAGATTCACCCCATTTGGCAACTGTGCCCATAACCCGTTATCAGGATCACCCACGAGAACAGGCATGACCCTGAGATCGTCTTCTGCAGCCGCAGCCCAGAGCTTCGCTAAAGGGAACACGGCGGTCCTCGTCATTCGTGGATTCTGTGTCCGTGGATCCCCCTGCCGCTAAAATCTATGCGCAACCCCAAAACCAACGGTCAACATGCTTTCATGGTCACCTGGGGACATGTGCAGAGTGACAAAAACCCCGCACACATTTCCAGCTGAGGCTGAACAACGAGACACTCTGTCTTCTTTTTCTTCCCCTTTTTATAGAAAAAAAATTCATCTATATTGACAAAAATTGTCTATATTTATCCTCTACAAGTTGTTTTAAAATTCTTGCTTCAGCTCTTGTATTGTAAGTAAATGTCCTTTATGTGGCCTATTCCAGACCACATTTTTGTGCTTTTTTTTGTCACTTTGCAGTTTAGTAGGGCCCCCTCCCCAACTGCCCAGCATAGTTCTGAAGTACTGGCTGGTGTTCTTAAGCACTGGCCATGAGTTTAATGTCAATGAATCAACAATATGTATTAAAGAAGGTGTCTTTAAACAAAAACACACATGCAAGGTCATACACTGATTCGTCGATAAATTGCTGTGACCAGAGGCTCACAGGAACCTCACCCTGCGATTCCCCTAGGAGCAAAGGCTCAGCGTCCACTAATTCAGTGTTTACAGCCACCTGCTAGAACATCACTACTGCAAATAAAGAGAATCGACTGTTTATTCAACACAGCACTGTCTACGTCTCTGTTCAAGTACCCATGGCACTCTGGAAAACTCAGCATGAACCCTAGCCCAAGCCTGGACCCGTGGACCACCACAGAAGGTCTTTCCTGCCAGCCACATCCTGGTCAGTCCAAGAATGAGCCTGATCTTAGATAAGAGCTTTAGCCAGAGCAGAATGGAAACACGGCCCTGGGCCAGAACCTGGGTGTCCTTCCTCTGGACCTAACAGGCAGCGTCTGAGAAGCGCTGAGACGGACTCTTAAGAACACCCAAGGTCAGGAGGCGGATGATGACCGTATGCTGACACAAGCCTGGTCTCTCCCACGGTGGCAACCCTCTCGCTAAAAGTCAGAGCCAGAGAAATGAAGCAAAGGCCGATGGGGGTGACCAAACGCCCACCCTGCTGTAAGATGGACCAGCAGGAACAGCAAGAGTTCTGGGAGCTACAAAGAGTGCGGCCCAAGTGCAGACAGCTCAGCCCAGGGCGTGAGCAAGACCAGAAAGCGCTCCTTCCTAGGCCGACCCCGGGCCAGCTGGGACAGGAAGAGAACCCACCACGGAAGCCTGGGGGCAGGGACGGGGAGCGCACAGCCTCCCAGAACCTCGGCACTCCTGTCTGTAAGGTGAGGCCTTAACCTAGCCCATCTCTTCTGTCCCTTCCAGCTCCTAGGCCCACACTGGTGTCCCCACTCTGCAGGGCCTCTGTCTCTCTCCTGAAGAGGTGGGTCATTTCCCAGGGGCGGGAGCCGTGGAGGGGCGGGGGTGCGCGTTGGCATTGCTGGGCCCAGAACGAGCCAGGGGACACAGCAAGGGACACTGCTGGAGGAAGGGCCGAGCCACAGAGGCTCCAGGAGCCGAGAAGGGTCCTCGCTGGGCTCAGCAGAAACAGAAAGAGAGGCTGGAGCCAACAGGGGTGAGGGATGAGGAGGGGACAGGTGCCCTGAGCCCTCTGGCCTGAGTGAGGTGTCTGCGGTGGGGAGGCGAGTGTTCCTGGCACCTGCTGTGACCTGACTCCCAGAAAGTGCACACTTCGGGGCACTGGAGGGGCAGCTAGAGAGATGTTTCCGTCCAAAGGTACTCACCGCCCTTCATCCCCTCCCCCTCTCACGGAGGCTCGGGTGGAGGCTCTGCTGAGCTCAGGGGCTGCTGCCTGGACAGAGTGCAGTTATGCTTCCTAATCTCAGAGGCCAGGTCTAGAGAGAAGCCCAGCCTCGTTTGTGTCTCCTGCCTCGTGGGGAGCCCCTCTCTCTCTCTGCTCGGGCTCCCGTCCTTGTCCCGGTAAAGAGAAGAGGGAGCCGGAGTCAGGCCTGTTGCCCTCCCTTCCCAGGGGACGCTGGTCCCAGGGGACTCCTGGTCTAGGCTAGTCTTCTAGTTTTGAGAAAAACAAGGGGGGGTCTCCTAGAAAGTGGGAGGTTTAGCAGGTGGCAGGTCACCCCAGAAGGTTCCAGAACCCCAGCTACAAGGTCTATCGCCACACCACCCTTCCCTCCCCAGAAGGGGCAGCATCTCTCCCCAGTACTTACACGTGTCTGGCTTGTGGCAGTTGTGTCCCTGGCGGAAGTACTGGGGGTTCTCGATGACCGGGATGCGCGTCATGCCGATGACCACGGTGTCGGGCCCGGCGTCCAGCGACGAGGGCGTGGTGATGCCGTGGTTGATGTGGTGCAGTGGGCTGGCCGAGTCCTCCTCGCCACTGATGACGGCCACGGGACCTGCGCACACGGTACCCGGTGAGCTCACGTGTGGCCCGTTCCCGGCCCACAGACCCCGCCCCCACCATATTTCCTGCATCAGCAAAGCCCACTGGAAGAGTGCTCCCCAAACGCTCTGAATTCCGAGTTCGGAGAGCCACCCCTGTGTTCTCTTTCCTGAGAGTTACTCACCCCATCAGAGCATGAAAACAGGTGCAGAATAAAAGTGAATTAGAATGCCCATGGCATGAATTATTCTCACTCCCCCCCTCCCCAAATCCAAATTAGAACAAAACAATAACGGTTTTAAGTAAGTCTCTTTGCTTACATAACAACAAGAGGATTTTTAAAAGTGACCTAGCAGTCGTTTGCACCCTCTCCCACCTCCCCTGGGGAGCTTTGAAAACCACTGGTGCCAGGTTCTACTTCCAGGGATTCCAATTCGGTTGGGCTGGGGTGTGAGCCGGGCACCGGGATGGTGAGAGCTCCCCACATGAGCCCCATGGACAGCCGGGATCGGGAGCCTCTGATTGGGGGCTTGGAGGCCCAGAGCCTTGCCAGCCGGCCTTCGGAGCCCAGCCCTCCCCTGTCCACAGGGAGATAAGCCCCGAGTAGGCTGGATCCAACCTGAGCCAAGTTCACGGACGACAGTGATTAGGCTGCACGACTATCAGCCCACTGGCAGCTGGGCCAGTTGTCCCACTCTCGAGAGATCCGTGCTGCCCCGGTGGCTCCCAAACCACATCACTGCCTGTTCCCCGACCCCAAGCCAGCTTCACTCCGGCTCCTTCCGGACCCAAAGAAGAAACTCAGGAAACAAGGTTGCTCAAAAGCAGAAGGTGACAAAGGGAACGGACTCTGCAGTCCGGGTAGCACGACGATTCTGGGGGGCTGGCGTGGTCCTCCCACACGTACAAATAAAACTCCTGTAAAGTGAATGAGCTGTGACTGTTTGTGGCTTCATGCGAACAGCGCTTTCGATGGCTGCTTTGCTAGACACACGGTCCCCAGACAAAGTGCCTGCCGTGATTTGGTTTTGCAGCCTGAACGCTATTTCCACCGCGGAAACCCATTACATCTCACTGAAGTTTATGGAGGGAATATTTCCCGCCCGATAGCGAGGTGAAGCACCAATGAGGCAGAACTAAACGGGAGACCAGCAAATGCAGATGGAGGACCCTGAACGCCACTCCATCAGCACTCTCGGGCTGATCCCAATCCCTGGCGAATGTCTGTCTGTGCTCGGAGACCATGTGGAAAGGCAGCAGTGAGTGGTTGCCCAGCTACTCACAGTAATCACTCGCCTTGCAAAAGGAAGCCAGTTCCAGAAAGCACCTCGTAAACTTTTTGAAAAACTTCACAGTGACTTCCAGTTAAACAGAGGAAAAAACTAAGCACTGTTCCTTATCCTCTTTCTCTCCTTGAATGCCACGAAAATACAAAAGAATTCAAGAAATATTTGTGTACAAAGAGGAAGACAGTCGGTTCTGCTGGGAGGGCTCAGTGCTTGCAGGGACAAGGTGGCAGGAAGGCTGGCGTGGGTGAGGCTCGCGGCTGGGACAATGGGCCCGTGCCATCGTGTCACCCCCATCCTGCAGGACTCTGGCGGTTTACCCAGAGACACTGAACTGGCGGCTAGGATGAAGCTTAAAGCTGAGCCCCTTCTTCCTGCTTCTAGACAGGAGTCCTCAAACTATGGCCTGCGAGCCACATGCAGCCCGCCGAGGACATTTATCCAGCCCGCCGGGTGTTTTTGCCGCCGCTGCCTGTCCTGCTTAGCAGCCGACTCGACCCCGGCCCACAGTGCGCATGTGTGGAACGCGCGCCACACTCTCCAACGGCCCTCCAACGGTCTGAGGGACAGTGAACTGGCCCCCCGTTTAAAAAGTTTGAGGACCCCTGTAATCCAGAACAACAAAAACCAGGCACAACCCTGCCTCCCCACCGCCCCGATCTCATCTCACACCACCGCCTTGCAGGAGATTACAGAAACGCTTCTCCGGAGAAACTCTCTCAAAAAAGTACTTCTAGCTATCGACACTCGGAGATATCCCAGTGGAAAGTCAAGTTTGACCAAGCCACAGGGAAGCCTGCCAGCTGGTGAGCCTCACTCACGCACCCAGGTGGAATCGTGCTGGCTTCCCAGTACTGGCCTCCCAGTGCTCGTTCCTAAATGGGAAGGAGCAATTCAGCTCGCCAGGCTCCCGCAAGGTTCGGCACGAAGCGAGTGTGACAGACAACAGACAGGGACCTGCAGGACACGGAGGCAATGCAGGAAGCAGAAGACGACTTTTTTTAAAAAGTGACTAATATCCTCAGAGAGGTTAATGAAGGCACTGCACCTACAAAACAAGGCGATACTTAGAACGTGACCATTGGGAGGGTAGGAAAGAGTCCTTGGGAATTATAAGCATCAAAATTTAGCAGTCGAAGACCGGAGGACTAAGTCAAGGAAATCTTGCAGAAAATCAAACAAACAAGAGGTGGTAAATAAAAAGAAAATTAAAGGCTTGATACAGAGATCCAACATCTGATTAAAAGAATTTCTGGAGAAGGAGAGAGAGAGAGGAGGAGAGAGAAGATGAATAGGAATACAAAAAGATGGAATTGAGAATAAAACACTTGTGGAGATTTCCCCCAAATTACCCACCCAGCTCTCAGCACAATTAACACGAGTGCATGAGTGTGGGTACACACACACACACACACACACACACACACACACACACATCAAGGCACAAAATGGCAAAATTCCAGAATCCTGGGGATAAAGAGAAGATGCTAGGAGCTTCCAGGAGGGAGGGACAGGTCACATTCACAAAGGAAGAGCAATCAGAAGGACCATGGAATTCTTCCTGACAACACTACTGCTGTTTCTATACTAAGCAATTCCTTTGAAATTTTGGTGGACAACTTTTCAATCTGGAATTCTATACCTAGAAAAAGTATTCATCCACTGTAGGGGCAAAAGAAAGGTATTGGCAAATATGTAAAAATTTGTCATGCCCATCCCTTTTCTTGGGAAGCCTCAGGGGGAGGGACTTCAGCAAAATGAGGGGGTGGACAAGGCAAAGGGGAAGAGGGACCCAGTATCAGACAGTGGCAGCCTCAGCCTGCAGAGCTACGGGAAGGAGGTGTCCGGTGGGGACAGGTTAAGGAATGCAAAAATAAAGGCAGGATTCATGCCCAGGCTGTCTCGCTCTCTCCAAATCTCACAGCCTTCGCTGCGACCACAGACTTTATCAGCACTGCAAGAAGACAACAAGACCAAACCACGGAAGTTACTCCCATCTTTCCCCTTTCTGTTTTTGGCATGATGGGATGTGTGTTGTTATAGTGACAAAGGGGAAGGACACAGGATCAGGAGAAGTTTGAGAAGATAAAATATTGTTACTTTTGTGCAAGGCAGCTTCTTTGGACCTGCCCCCAGACGGTGCATGGACAGCCAGTGGGCAACACAACGATCCAATATCTTGTGACCTAAAAGTCTCCACTTTTCTACATTATTCTAGGATTTGCAAAAGCTGGGGCGAGAGCCAGAGAGGGAAAGGGTCCTGCCACACGCTCCCAAGCCATGGGATGGAATGGGGTCACCCAGAAAGACTTCATAGAAATAAAAGAATAAAGCCAGACATCAGGGCCCTGGGAACCCCAATACATGAAATGCTTGCATTGAAAGGGGAACGAGGAAAAGGAGAAGAAATGGCCAGAAAAGTGGAAGAGAACTGGAAAAGGGCATTGTCTCAGACATCAGAGGAGGAGAATTTCCAGAAGTACAAGAGACTCATGGACCAAGGACCAACGGGATGAAGAGTGAAGATAGGCCACTATATTTGCAGATATGGAGGTGGCCTTAATGAGAGCAGTTTCCACGGGATGGCAGGGAAAAAAGTCAAATTATAGTGAGTTGAGGAGTTAGTTGGCGAAATCGTGACCGTGGTAATAATTTTTATTATTGAGTGCTTCCTAGATACTAGGCTCTGAAATGCAGCTTGTTTAATCTTGCAAAGCCCCTGTGACACTGGCACCATGATTTCCCCATTTTAAAGATGGGAGCATTGAGGCACAGAGCAGTGACCTGCCCAAGGACACACACCCAGCAAAGAAGCGGTGACACTGGATTCAAACTCCCGGGCTGGCCAGGGCGCCTGTGATCACAGCCACCAGCCAGCACATGGCTCCCAGAAAGTGCAGACTGTGGGGAAGTATCAAAGGGACACTTGATCAGTTCTGGGACATTATCCTCCTCCTGAGTAGCTGCCTTCGACTGCAGGTCGACATCTTCTTTAAAGATGTTTTTCTTGACCCTTGAGAATTGGGACAGGAGTGAGTCACCTCGTTACACTCACCCAGACAGATTACAGATAATTCATCATCTCCTCTTCTTCCCAGCGCTGCTGAATGCTCTCGTTAAACTACGTCCCCATCAGAAAAGAGTGCGGAGTGCCGCACCATCAGACTGCTGTCCCATCCCTGAGGCCCTCTTACTCACCTCCGCTCTTCCATAAACTGCATTCCTTAAAATAAAAGCCAACAAAGAGCACGCAGACCCATCACTTCAAAGGGTGCAAGAGGAGACCCCTGCAGCTTGCCTCGCCTGCCTGTGTCGAGTCCGACAGTGCTTCTGAATGGGGCTGCGGCAGGCACCAAGGCCACACAAGTCCTCCCAGGACAGGACTGTCCTGCGTACTGAGCATCCCTGGGCCTGGGCGCAGGAGGCCAGGCTCAGATTCACGGATCACAGCCACTGTTCCATCGTGGCGGAGGCTGACGCTGGGGGAGGCTGGCCGCGCATGGGGCACAGGGTACGTGGGAACCTCTGTACCTCCCACCCAATTTTGCTGTGCAAATGAAGTGTAAACAAATCCTAAACTGCTCCCAAAATGAAGTATAAAAAAATAAAAATAATCATACAAAAAGCATTCTCCCTATGCAACACACAAAATGCATTTCCAAATACCCTCTGGGGTGACTGAGGGAGCTGCCCTAGGCTGAAAACCACTGATGGAGACACCAGCATT